TCTTTTCTCGTCTTGAAGAGGCCACCTTGTTATTCTTTGGGCAAGCTTTGTGCTCCGTCCCACAGATTCCTTTCATATCAGTCTCCTAATTGTGCGTTTGACCTCCTAGACTGACTTGTACCAGCCTCCCGCTCCAGCCATGAGTCCATGCTGTCTGAGATCTTTGCAGTTATCTCTTTTTTACATTATTTCCATTCTGTCTGCAATTTAACCATTTTGGCACCTGCCTGAAAAGCCAATTTTGTATCAATTCCCCCCTTTGAGACTTCTGAAACTTCTTTCAGGAGTCTCACTTCCAAATACTTTTCTCGATTGCCCTTTTAATACATTCAAGACTGATTGCAATTAGTAACACTAAAGTTATGAAGAGAATAATCCCTTCACATAACAAGGCTAACCATCCTTTTAAAGACCATCCTCCAATCCCTTGAAGAATCTTGTTTAACCAATTTTGTTCAGATGCGTCTTGAATAGCACGACTGTCCTTTGCTATTTCTCTCATTTCTAACTGTTCTTGCAAATCCCCTGTTACATTGGGTATATGTATACAGCAATGGTCCTTATCTAACTTTAAAAATCCATAAACTCCTTGCTCTTTTATCAAGAGTAAATCTAGGGCCATTCTATTTTGCAGGGTCATTTTGGTGTTTGCTTGTACCTGTCTGTTGATTAACTGAAATCCTTTCTCTGTGGTTTTGGACAGTACTTCTACTTGCCATGTCAAATTTTCTAACAAGATTTGATTTTCCAAAGCCATCAATCCTGGTAACAGAAAGCTTTGAAGTGCCCAACCAAATTCTACAGCCTCTGAGGGTCCCGCCCATCTATCTTCCTCTTTGGCTTCTCTTCTTACCTTTCCCCAAAGACGAGTTTTTATTGGGTTTTGTCTCCATGTGGGACATAATGTTAGAAGTCCTAATGTGATCTGCTGGGTAGCTGGACTTAGGCGGAGTTGTGTAGTCCACAATCCATCTGAAGTGACCCAGACAGAATATCCTGGGGAAGGAATTTATGTTTCGCATGTTTCAGAATTATTAGATTTACACTGACTCATCAGGGTCATGGTACCATTAAGAACTGCAATATTACTGGTATTTGATTTTTGTGGACACCTCCAATTAGTTCTGCTGAGATTGTGAATGGGGCATGTTCCCCATTCTATACACCACTCAGGATGCCCCATGTATATCCAATGTCCCTCCACGGGTCTAGTCCAAGTTTTAGGTCCTTTCCTAAGGATTGTGCATTCCTGGATAGTATCTTTAATGTGTGTGTCATTAAAAACACTTACTGTATGGAAGCTTCCCCCCGTCCCATATGAAATGTACCTCTACTCTGCCCTGGTGAGGCTGCATCTGGAGTACTGTGTCCTGTTCTGGGCTCCCCAGTTCAAGAAGGACAGGGATCTGCTGGAGAGGGTCCAGCAAAGGGCTACAAAGATGATGAGGGGACTGGAACGTCTCTCTTATGAGGAAAGGCTGTGGCACAGGCTGCCCAGAGAGGTGGGGGAGTCTCCCACTCTGGAGACATTCCAAACCCACCTGGACGCCGTCCTGTGCAACTGCTGGAGGTGACCCTGCTCTGGCAGGGGGGGTTGGACTAGATGATCTCCAGAGGTCCCTTCCAACCCTGACCATTCTGTGATTAGAAAAACCTGATGCCAGGAAGCTGGGATTGTGAATGAGTTTTCTTAATGTGACTGATACAGATTACAGCTTGACCTAAATCTATCTCGCCTATTGCTGATGATTTCTTCTTAAGGATAAGCTTTTATATCATCTCCCTGTTGCTTATATAGCTAAATCTACTGAGATAGCTGGGTATCCATTCCTTATTAGCTTTAGTTTGGGTCTGAAACTAATATATTTGCATCAGTGCAGTATTGCAGTTGAGCAGGCGGAAATGGGAAAGCGTTGTGAATAGTGAAGCTGCCTTGGGATATGGACAAAACTTTTCAGAAAGGATTGCTGTAAAATGAGTACGGGGAGATTGCAGATAGACTGGTAAACTCAGTAGTTTTTGCAAGCTTGCTGTTACTTCATGTTAAGCAATAAGACTTCTTATACTTCAAAAATCGGTGTGCTTGCTTTCTTGGCTAGTTGAATCAAGTCAGATAATTTCTCAACTTCCAGAAATTGCCAGTAGACTTCCTGTTGATTACAAAGTTTACTGTCATCTTTGCCATGAGAGGCTTGATAGACTGATATCCCCATCATGTGGGGGAAATGCAAACTCTATGATCTTTGCATGCAATTTAGAAACATTAGATGCATTATATCAAGTACAACTCAAACACTATATATAAAGTGCTGTCAATTAGTTTGTGAAAATTGGATTGTTCTTCAAAGTTCGTACAAAAAAAAAAAAAAGTAAGTTAAACTCCAAAGGCAGTATTAGAAGGTTGTCACATGTAAATGAACACATGAAGCTGTCTTCTAAAAATTTAATCTATGAGCAACAGATCTGGAGCTTTTGGAAATTTTTTGCAGCTTATTCAAGTTTGTTTATAAGGAATTATTTTTTACTTAAATACCGAGATTCTTTTTAACTTGTTAATTACTTAGATTTTTTGATAATTTCTTGTGGCTTTCTGGTTTTTGTGCCTCTCCAGTTTTATCAAGGAAATAATTCACTTCCCAGGTCTGATATTGAGAGTGAAATCCCTTTTCATTTGACTTCTGTACAGTTTGGAAATACATATCTATTGCTTACTTGAGTTTGAATGTTAAGCAGTGGATTGTGAACAGCACTTTGAGCTCTGCTGGGGTGTTGTCAGTAAAACTTAGGTGTCATTTTTTTGTGTGATTGGTGGGGGGAGAAGAAAATAATTTTCTTCAACATATTTTCCAAAGTAGTTAAACCTATTATTGTGATTTCTTCTTCCCCCTGCACTCCCCCCCCCCCCTTTGACCAGTGGAGTACTTTAAATATTAATATGGCTTGTTTAGATGTTAATGGATAATAAGGCCCCTTCCAACCTAAATCATTCTATGATTCTTACTGGTATATTAAAGATTTACTACTTTAAAATTTCTACAATGCCTACTTTATAAGCTGATAATTTGAAGTATATTTGTGAATCTGTACCCTTTTGCCTCTATGTTTTATTTGTATTTCATAACTAGTTGCATTTGCCTTATTAAGTTGTAATGACAAGGCTAATAAACTGGGTGTTTTTTGGGTACAGCCACCTCTGGTGGAAGCAACTCCTTGCTTTCTATGCAATGCACATGTGTAGTCTGTAACCACCCAAATTAAGATCCCAGACTTCTTTCCTGCCTTCCAAACTGTGATCTCATATCCTTTGTTATCTGGTTGGTTTTTTGTTTTTTTTTCCCCCCTCTGCTGCCACAGGTCACTTGTGCTCTGTTCTGCTGCCAAACCAAAATAAACACTTGCTTGTTTGTTTTTTTTTACTTTGTGTCACAAGCATGGTCCTCAGCACTGTGTCTTGGAGTGGAAGATACAGCTTCCGCTTCTGCTAGCATGGGAGACGATGACATAACTCTGAACATATGCGCACTTGAGAACTGCCGTATTGTCTGCCATTCATTGTCCTTTAAAAAATGGATTGTATATACTACGAGTAATGTACATATTAGAGTTCTGATAATTCAGTTTTGTTAATAATCACATCTCAGATCTACCACTTGTGCTCCTTTACAGTCATCACTGAACTTTGAGAAACATTCTGAAAATTTTTCATGGACAGAGAATCATTATGAAGCAAATCGCAGAAGACACGACTCTTCAGATGGGTTTGATCCTAATATTGGATGGCCCAATGGAGGTATAATTTAGCTTTCATGGAACATTTTAAATACATTTACGTCATTGCTTTGTAGCCCTTTGGCTAGAAAAAAAAAATCTGATGATAATAGCTGTCCTGTGCCAAATTCTGTATTCTGTAGTAGAATAGAGGTAATGGAAAGACAGATCTTCTGGGAGATGATGTGACTAAGGGTTGGTTGAAGTAGTGTGTTTCCGGGTGTATTTCTCTTACGAAGGTGGTCAAATTAATTCTCTAGCCAACAATGTATAAATGAGCAGTCAGGAAAGGGGGTTGACTTCTTAATGTTGGACTACTATCCTCTTTCTTTGGCACTGTTTTGTGAGATTCTTCCCTGCTGCTTATGTGAATGAAAACTAAGTTTACTGTGCTATCACATCCCAGAGTAGAGAGCTGCTTGCTTAATTACTCTACCAGTTTTGCAAAAGTAGAATGTTCTTTCAAAACTGTTAGTAATTACATTTCCTTAAAACTTAAAAATCTAAGGGCATTTTGGGAGAAAAGAGAAGAATGGTTGGCGTTCACAAGGCAGAAATGGTACAGAAAATATAAACCATCATGGGGGATACCATGGCGGAGGTTCCTGCACTCGTACCAGCACTTTCCACTGTGGAAAAAGCGAAGGACTGCATGAAAACAATGTATCTGATTATGAAACTGGGAAAAGGGAAGACAAGGAAGTACCCAAACAGTTTGAGTCTGAGGATTTTGTAAGTTAATTGTAATTCTAATAAACAAGGTTTCATTGTTTATGCAAGTGTCATTTTGTCCATTTCAAGCAAATTCATGAGATTTCACCAGTTACAGATCATCATATAAGGGATCACCCTTCCCATAGGTAAGAGGGTGTTAGTCATTTCTCTACTAACTTGTTTCTCTTTTTATATCCAGGTTTTATCATGTTTTTATTATAGTCACTTAAGTGTTTAAATGAAACTATAATTGGGTTCTAAGTTTATTTCATAATATCTTACCACAATTTACTGTGGCATGTGTATGTATTAAATTCTACACAGGTACCTTACTGGAAATCCAAAGTACTAATAAAATGATCTTTCTGCCACCAGCCATTTGAGGTCCCATGCTTCAACCTAAAGTTGTAGGATGTAAGGGGAAGGGTGAGCTTCCTCTTTGAAGAACCACACGTCACTATGCTTTGCTTTCTCTGGTCAGTTCATATAATGGTATTGACTGCTGTTTGAGTTGTTTTGTTGGAGAAGAGGAAACAAGTGAGCATTCATCTATTTGGGTCACAGGGGGAAGTGTCTAGTCTGTCTCCATTTAAAAATCTTTGATAGCAGAGGTCATACTTCTGATATTATTGTGATTCTTTATTTCATCAGTCCCACAGTTCAAGACTTATTATTAAATTTTATTTTTAATAATGATAAATTTTCCTTTCAGCCATCTTTGAATCCTGAATATGAGAGAACAGCAAACCAGAAGAAGTCTTTAGCTGCAGGTGTGTGGGGTGAGTAAAGTGGAAGCAAATGTCTTAAGCTGTTGGTTGTGTTTATGAATTACTTGTAAGAAAGCCAATCCTGAGAGTGGGCCTTTAACTGAACTATAGTCTGGGTTTGTTTTCTCGTCTCCACCTGATAAATTTGGCTACCGTTTTACAGTTCTGTGGGCTTTAAGTAGTGAATCGTTCACTCTTAGAAGGTGGCAGCTTTAGACTGCACAGGTTTTAAAATAATAAACTTACTCAAAATAAGAACCTTTCTCTTTGAGGAAATAAGCTTAATTAAATATAAAAGCTACTACTTAAACTGTTGTTAATACTGAGGTCTGAAACTTGTTGCTCATTTTAAATGGTACTTTAATTTGCTGGTTCTTTTTCTCATACTTCCCTAGTATGTTTTGCATTCTTAGGTAACACTAGGTGTAGGTCAACCACTGAATATAAATATCTAATTGCTAAGAACTTTTGCAGGAGCCTAAACAATTGGACTGCTTTCCATTTTTGTGTATTTAGCAGCTTTCATGTGAAAGTCAGGAAATATAGTTATCTTTCTATAAAAGAGTAACAATAGCTACATTTTTTTCCTAACCAAGTTGTGGAAAATTATATAACAACTTGAGTGTTTTACAACCTCTGCAACACTCTAGCTGTGGTTGCTGCATGAAGTGGCTCAATTTGATGTGAAGGAGGGCAAGTTTTCCAGGCTTTCTAGGTATCGCTCTTCACAAGTAAAGGAAGGAACAGTTCTGTTAGCTACATAGATCTGTAAGCTACAGTGCAGCTGCTTGTTACAGCTTACAGCTTGATATCTTACCTTATTACAGCTCTGCTATTGCAAGCCATGTTTTGTAATTGAAAAACTGAAATTAAGGCTATTCTTATTCCCTATTAAAGGAAACTTAATATTCAGGACAAGAGGAATGTTACCATCCCCTTTTAATGACTGTTAAAAACCTATGTTTCCATTAGATTCCATTTTACCCTGTGTATATGGGATGGGAGCATGCAAGTATTATGAAAAGTCTTTTCGTAAAGTTTCATGAGAGCTAAGTATACAGTTACCACAAATGTTTTGTAACATCTACCTGCTAAACAAAGCTAAAATCACTTATGCTTTTAAGATAGGGGTTTTGTTTGGTTTTTGTTTGTTTGTTTGTTTGTTTGTTTTTTAATGTAAGTTATGGTGACTCTGCCTGTGAAGTACAAATGCTTGCAGAGAGAGGAGCTAATCTTGGAAAAGGTTATTAATGCAGCATTGGAATGCATGTGCAAAAAAATAAAGTGCTTTTTACACTTTTTGAAAACTTTAGAACTGTTTATAATAGTTTTTCTTTTAAACTGTTAAATGTCAGTTACTTAGTGAGTATGACAGCTGACTGTATGTCTCCAATTAGTGCTCTCTTGAACCTGGAAATGGTGTAAGCTTCAAATGTTCTATTACGCCCATCTGAGGCATAGAGGTAGAGAAACCGATCATTACCATGGTCTACAGTAGTATGCATCTTTTCTCTCATGTTTATAGAGCCTCAATGTGGAACATTTGGCTCTAAAATGAGTTGTTAATATATATATATGAATAATTATTCTTTAGTAACCTTAAAGGGAAATATGAAAACCATAATTTCTTTTGAAGATTAGGTAACTGTTAACAACTAATAGTATTTGGATTTTAGATTTGCAAACAAGAACTGTGTAGCTAGCTTCTTTGACTGAAGGATATCTTTATTTTCCAAAAGTAAAATTCCCGCATTGCCAATTGAAATCTTTTATAAAAGGTGGTTGTGGAAAATGGAATAGAACTCGTGTTTACACAAGTTTGTACAGTGTGTTATTTGTGGAACTAATACTGGATCAAGTTCCTGTTTTTATGTCTATTTGCTCTGGACCATATGGCTATCCAGTACCCTATGAACGAGGAACTTAAGAATGTATACACATGCATATATATATATATACACACACACACACACTTCCTCCCCACCCACCCCCCCCCCGCCCCCCCACAAACATAAAACTCATTTCTCCAAGAATGCTGGTCATGAAAAAGGGCAGTACAAAAGAACTGCAGATATCTGGATTCCCTGTAGTAGGAAGTCTTCATTCACAGCCAGTAAAGAATGGAACTAGCACATATGTTTATAAAGGATTAGTCCCTAAACCTGCTATTCCACCCGCAAAGGTGAGTCTTGGATACTGGTGGCATGAACAACGTGCTGAAAAAAATCATGCTCTAATTCTGAATGTGCTTATTTCACCCCTGAGAGTACTGTTCCTAGAGTATTATGCTTTCAAATCTTGTTAAGTGCAGAACACCCCAAAAGTGAATGGAAACACCTTTTCTCGTTTTTCTTTTTAAACTATAGTGTAATTGGATCTCTCTCTCATTTAACTTTTTTGAGAAGTGCAAGAGCTGCCCAAGGGAGAGTGAAAAGGATGTTTTTAACTTGCAGAATAGCAATTCCTCTTGTATATATGTTTTTAACAGAAAAATAGATACCTAGTGGAAAGCTATAGTTGGCATGAAAGTACCTCCATAATTTATTCCAATTATTGATATAGATGTGCTTAGTGTCATTCTGGTCCCTCTCCATATGCAACTTTCCATGTTCATCTTCTGATTTTGTTTCAGGAATTTTTCTGTGCTCCTGAGAGCATCTGATGGAGCTGTTCTTAACTCTCTTAACGTACTACATTAAAAACACTACTTTCAGCTGTTGAAGACTTGTGTTTTGATTCTTAATACCTCAAATATGAGGGTCTTAATTGTTTGTAAATTTAACTCTATATAAAAAGTGTAAACGGTATTTGTGAGAGAAGATTAATTGCTCATAAACGGTCTCTTTTCCACAATAAAACAGGCATTTGCTCTAAATTATGGTTGTAGTTATGATTTGCTTTTGCTTAATTATTTTTCTAAATATTCCTGAAAATAATCCTATTGTAGTTAATGACTCTCTAAATTTCTGTTTAAATTTTTGTTTAGCCTACACAGTGGAAAAGCCAAGCAAAAAAAAAACCAACTTGGGAATCCATTTTCTCATGAATCTGCACATGGTATTGTCAATTTCAGTCCTTTAAATCAACTGCCAAGGCATTTACTATATCACAGAATTCAGTGAAAGAGGTAAAGCAATGTCTGTAGTTTTTATCAAATCTATTAAATTTTAAATTTGTTTGGATAACTGGATCAGTAAGTTTTATGCAAACTGTATTAAATAAGTTTATTTTTGTGGAAGTTAGTGTGGGAGAGAGAAATATGGAAGGTACATCACTGGCCTTTAAGTACTGCAATATTTACTTTGTAATTTTGATTTGGAGTAAAAATGGTGCATTAGGAAGTATAACCTGGTAGATTTAAACTTCAGAATCACTAATAGTGTGGTACACTTCAGAAGGTCCATTGTTTCTTAGCAGGGCTCCATAAACCTTCATCTCTGGGGTTGCATGTAAGAACTATGTATACTGAAATACAAATATCTTCCCTCTGCTTTTTACTGTGGATATACATGAAACCTGAAACTACAGGTGCCTGTGTGTCAGAGTGGGATTGGACCCGGAGTAATGATGAAATCTCAATGTGAGTATGGTCGTTCTCCTTTATTGAATATTTTCGCAGAGTATATATATAAGCTTACAGCAAAAGCATGCATAGGCAACAACTTTATGATTGGTCCAGCTCCCTTGTTCACGCGCAACATCCCACAACTCGATTGGCTAAGGCCCTCTGTCCACGCGCCTCTTGTTTTACTCTTCTCCCGGCTTATGTTGTCCTGGATTCCATTCTGCTTAGCACTTTTCTTCCTCCCTTTTAGGGCAGCCAAGGGGGGGCCAAGGACGTTGCACATAGGCCTCTGTGCTTAGTTCAAACCCTGGGTTGCTCAACGGAATTAAGTTATGCCCTTTTTCATTCAGGAATGTCTCCACAATTCCCCCTTCTTCTTTTTGAGCAACCCAGGCTTGATTTACTATTTTTCCTAATTCTCGTTTAATACAACTTAAAGCTAAGCAAAGAATCACCTCCCTCGACCTGCTGGCCACACTTCTTCTGATGCAGCCCAGGATATGGTTGGCCTTCTGGGCTGCGATTGCACATTGCTGACTCATGCTGAGCTTCTGGTCAATCAGCACCCCCAGGTCCTTCTCCTGAGGGCTGCTCTCCAGCCATACCCCACCGAGCCTGTATTTGTGCTTGGGATTGCCCCGACCCAGATGTAGGACCTTGCACTTGGCCTGGTTGAACTGCATGAGGTTGGCTTGGGCCCACCTCTCCAGCCTGTCCAGGTCCCTCTGGATGGCATCCCTCCCCTCGAGCGTGTCTACCTCACCAAACAGCTTGGTATCATAGGCAAACTTGCTGAGGGTGCACTCAACCCCACTGTCCATGTCCACAACAAAGATGTTGAATAGTACAGGTCCCAGTACCGACCCCTGAGGAACGCCACGCGTCACTGGTCTCCACTTGGACATCGAGATGTTGACCACAACTCTTTGAGTGCGACCGTCCAGCCAGTTCTTTATCCACCGAGTGGTCCATTTGTCGAATTGGTGAAGCCGTGCTGGCTGTCACCAATCACTTCTTTGTTATCTATGATGTGCCTCAGCAGAGTTTCCAGGAGGATCTGCTCCATGATCTTGCCAGGCACAGAGGTGAGACTGACTGGCCTGTAGTTCCCCAGGTCTTCCTTCTTTCCCTTTTTGAAAATAGGGGTTATGTTTCCCCTTTTCCAGTCAGCAGGAGCCTCACCAGACTGCCACGACTTCTCAAATATGATGGTTACGTGGTTTAGTAGTGGTGTTGGCAGTGTTAGGATGATCTTAAAGGTCCCTTCCAACCTAGACAATTGTATGTTTTTATATTCTATAGTAATGTGTGAAGCTGTTGCACACTCAGTATGGTTTTCAATTTGGCATCCTATTGAAATGGTGTCTCCCCTTGTCCCTTTTAGAGATGTGATTTGCCAATCTTCATCTTTTATGATCCATTTTTGCTTGTGTAAGGCAAAATTATTGTGTAACACTACTACAGCCAAATTTAGAGATTCGGCAGGGTAAGTATTGGGTGCGTATCCATTATAACCTATATGAGCATTGATCAGTGGCCATGCCGTTGTGCATGAGTTCCATATATTGAGTGTGCCAATTGTAAAATCAAATAGTAGATCTTTGGTTTTATGGTCCAAAAGGCAAAATGCAATTATGGGTTTGGTAAAGGTGAAATTATACCAGCAATCTAAATTCTGTTCTGTTTTTTTATAACAATCGTTATTGTGGTTTTCCAGTCTGGAAATAAGTATAAATTATTTTAATTTCGGTTGGCTTGTGGTACGTGGATCCATTGATTACCCAGCACTCAATTTGTATTTTCTTTCCTGTCATGGCTTGGAGTTGAGCCATCTGATGAGAGTCATCCTAACCCCGTTCCTCTTTTGGGTATACTTCTTCCCCATGTGAGACTAAAGTAGAAAGACTTAGGCCTGTCTTACTTTATGATGTGCCAATACTTCCAGTGTGTCTCAGTAGTGCATGGTCCCAAGGATCTTGTGTGTGGGCCATTGTGAGCATACTTACTCCAACGAGCAGGGAGAGAGATAGTGGGGAAGGGGATATATCTGTCATCGTCGTCGTTGCCATTGATGTATATCCCAGGAGATCTATGCAGTGAGGGAGAGAAGAAGTAGGCACAATGCTGTGGAGATGCCGATGTCAAAGATGACTATTGCTTCCACTGAGCTATTGGTGGGATTGTTAGAGATGTTATTTGTTCCCACAATGTCATTGGTGGAGTTCATAATTTCTGTTAATGAGAAAGAATGGTCTCGGTGGGGAGGGCCGAACAAGTTACCCCTTTTATGATGCAGGGTAAATCCATCTGGTATTGATTTTACGCTTGATTCCATCGTTGTCAATAGCATCCCATGCTAGAAATCCTTGTGGTTTAATTAGGGTTACTGGTATTGTTCCCACAGATGGTATTTTTACCATCACAGGCTGTCCTGGTTTCATTGAAGACCAGGTATGCCCCTTGTTTAGGGGTTTTTCCAGAGGAGATGCTAGAAAGGCTCAAGTGGTTGGACTTCCATAAGGACCATACCAATTATTTAGTAGTTGTATAATTTTAGAGAGATGGTTGTCCCATTGCCCTTCATGTGGTTTAAGATATTTTTTCAATAGTCCATTGGCTCGTTTAACTATATCATTAGATTGTGGATAATAAGGTGTGTGAAATACCCATTTTATTCCTTCTTGTTTTGCCCATTCTTGTACTTCTTTGTTAGTGAAATGTGAGCCTTTATCACTCTGGATGGAGTCTGGAACAGGCAATATTGAGACCCATGAAAAGAGGCCTCAAATGGTATTTTTTCCATTAGCCTGTCGGCATTTGGTATCTGCAAGGAGTCCAGATATTATTTCTACTGCTGTTAATATATATCTATACCTGGCAGAGGGTTTTAAAGGACCAATATAATCAATTTGCCAAGTAGACCATATGGTTTTTCCTTCACTAATGTGAAAAGGTGGTGCTTTAGCAGGGTGACCTGTTTGTGATTTTAATTTGCACTGGGGACATTCAGTAAGGATGGTTTCACATGTTTTTCTACTAAGGGGCCAGCCTCAGCTTTAAGCTGAAAAATAAAGTGCTTCTCGACCTGTGTGGCCTAGTTTCTGATGAAACCATTCTCCCATTAGATACCATATGGGATTTACAGAATTCTCAACTTTTATTTTCCTAATTTTTGTCAGTTCATCTACCTTTGGTAGAGCTTTCACCTATCCTATTTGGAATGGTGTTTTCCTGGCTATGTCTAATAGCAATTGCCAGTCTTCAGTTCTCCAGATTGGAGGTCTATTTATTTACCAATTTAAGGATTCCCATTGACAAAGCCACTCTGTGGCACCTGCTCAAACGGCATAAGAGTCCACATATATGTTTTTTGCTTCATTTTGCACTGCTAAAACAACCGTGGTGGGTTGGCCTTGGGTGTTATAGCAATAAGTATAAGCAAGAGCCTCTCTGCATCCCATGCCTGGGCATCAGCTATAAACATAGGTCTGATCACTCTGAGAGAGCGAACAGTGTCTGCACAATGTGCTGTTAATTTCAGCTGTTAGAGAGGCCCAGCTAAGAAGCAAAGTTACTGACCAAAATTGGTTCTGTTTTACCTCAAACCAGGACAGTTTTGTTTGGGTTTTTTGTTTACAGCAGGAAGATGCATCCACAACTACAAACATACATGTGAGCTGTGAATGTGAGGCTCGACAACCACAGCTAGAAATGTCCCTTCTGCTCAAGGGACAGTGATACTACATTGAGCTATCTTGTGGAGAGGATGAGGGAATACATCTCCCTCTCCCGGGGACGGTCGTCGTGCCTGTGGGCTCCAGAAACCAGAAGAGGGTGCTGGAGATCTTCGGCTCGCTCTGATCTCTACTCACAAATTTTGTGTAACTGTTATTATTTTAGTTAATATTTTTGTGGTTTTGTTTTTCTAAACTAGTGTAAGTATTCTAGGTTTTGATACTTTGCTGTGCCAGCCCCTAAATGCAGAGACAATTGTACTGTTCATATTACTTTATGATAATTTATTGTTATACTTGTGAAACCACTGATATAACTGTCTGTTGCAGGTTGGATTCTGTCTAGAGATGTTCTTAAGCAGAACAGCCTGAATGTATAGATATATTGTAAATCAAGGAGGGAAAGACAGTCTGTTATATTTTTTGTTACACAAATTCTGTGCATACAGGAACATTTGTTTAAAGAGAAGCTGGGAGCAAAATCAGTTGTATTCTCTGTTCTGCTGTGATTCTCCCCTGGAGTAAATCTCCTATTTGAAGATTGCTGGTTGTATTCATGTGCTGCAGTGATGCTGTCTCAAATTCTTTTGATCAAAACTTGGCCTCTTTTCAGAGAGGCCTTGGTATTTACCAGTGTTCACAATAGGACAGGCATTTCTTTGTTTAAAAAGAAAAAAAAGGTTAAAATGGACAACAGAAAAAGGCTTATTCTGATTTATTCAGCATAAAAAGCTGAAACTAGGGGACAGCAAAGTAATGATTGAGACGTGCTCTCATTTATTTTAAGCTAGAATGCTTCTTGTGGGAGTTGGGACAAGATGGCTTTTTACAGTAAACCTCTGCAACTTGTAACTCACTTAAAGGAGTTTTCCACTGGATTTTTATAAGACTTTTTTTTTTTCCCTCTCTCCTGCACTGCAGTTCTGATGCTAATGCGTGCTTGTTGGAAGTGAGTCATCAGCAGTTATAACAAGTTTTTGTGGGTTTTGGTCAAAACCTTCAAATCTGGGTGGCTAGCATGAAGCATCTTTATTTTGATGTGTAAGTGCCTCATTTTTCGAAGATGGAGAGTAACCCCATTCCTGTTCATTAGTAGGAGTAACAGATACTCACTATTGTTGAAAACAAGCCTTCGTGACTGGGTTTTAGACATTTCATTAAAAAGCAGTTTTAACTATCCAGACCTAAGTGAGATAGGGAATAAGATGTATTAAAATGCCAGCCTGTCTGTGGGATTCGAGATGATACTCTGCCTCTCTTGCTCAGGGAGGACAACACTTCTCACTAGTTTCTTCTGTTGTTATACTAATTGGGTAAGAGATGCTCCCCACAACTGTGCAATTGTAATTTAAAAAAAAAACAACAAAAACCACCCGACATTTTGATTCAGGAAGATCATTAATAATCTTTGCACTCTTTGATTGTCCTGTGAGTTAGGACCAGCAACCAGATTTCAATCTCCTTTTAATCATCTCCCCTTATGAAAATGGATGTAAGATAACAAAAGACTGTCCAAAAGGAAGCAAACTGGCAGCAAAAGGCACAGAGACTCCCAGGAGTTACTACAGTTGATTTTGATAATTCAGTTTTTACTAACAGCAACATATCTTTGCGCCCTTTTACTCTTCACTCCTTAAAGTATCTCCAAATAATTTTCATCCATAGACTTCACTGCTCACTCTCCTCTCTATTTGCCTTCACACTGTACTACAATTTTGCTACGAATTGATGCTGGCTATCATAAGAACCTCAGACCTTGAAACAGTGGCAGAATGCCCAGGAAATAAAAATCAGTGCCCCCTTCTAAAGCCCAGTAATGCTAATCACAAGCATGATAAAGCCAAAAAATAACATAAAGTGAACTCAGCACAGAAAACTGAAGTAGTTGTTATGAATCTAAATCTCACTAGATCTATCCATAAGAACAATTTCACGTTCAGCCTAGGTCCACCTGAATACCCTGACTCCCCCAGCAGCCCGGAACAGAAGCTTGGATGCAAAAAGAATGGCACCATAGCAATAATTCCTCAGGACATTACCTCAGCTTCCAAAATTTTGTACCTACAGGCTTTCCTGAACCAGAGGCAAAGTTTGTGTATTCAATCTATTTCCATTAATTTGCCTAGGCCTTCTTGAACCATTTTGGCTCAGCTGTTACTTGCTTTGCTTCAATTCACTGTCAGGTTCTCTGGTTGCTTTCCTATTGCTATCACAATTGCAGAAGACAGAGGACAAAGCTGGATTTCCATGGCTTCACCCACATCAAGCAGAAAAAAAGGAAGCATTGGGAAGCACAGCAGAGGCACAGCCAACCTGTGTGAATGTGAACCAAACCAGTATAGTTATATTGGCTACCCTGTTTCATGTTCTTTGAACCTTTAGAACTTACGTTGGAATCTTGTTGCTTCTCTTTCACATGGGTAAGAAGCCTGGCAGGAGAAGAGAGAGACAACTGCTCTCATTTTGCTGTGAGACTTGGTTGGGGTTTGTGGTTCCAGGTAAAACCTGAACAAAAGGAAGAGAGCCATAAATCATGCACTCTGTGCACTTCAGACATCACTGCTAACTTTTATTTTAACCAGTTTCAAGACAAGACCATTCAGACCTGGTAGAAGAGGATGAGAACTCCTCCTGCTTCAGTTTCTTCTTGGAAGAAGGGGGTACAGAAGGGAAACAATACCCACTCCCACAGCTCCGACCC